TCTACACCTACGGATGCATCCGTATGCCAACTGCACCCATAAATAACATGGTAATAGGGATTCATTGCTTGTAAAAGAAATACATTCACATTCTCAATATTTATGAGTTTTTATAAATAGGGATTCCTTGGCATGCATAGGAATGAGGTCTATATTTTTGAAATATTTGCCTCCCATGTACATTCCTTATAGATTATGGGTTCCAAATTATGAAATGCAAAGCATGCACTGAAAATTTTGAAGACTCTCATCAACAAGGGCACGAGATCACGCTATGAGGAGGGCATTCAACTTTTCATTGAGTTGATAGAATGATGCTAAGATTCTTCTCTCCCGCCTTTCAAAGTAAGAGTCTCTATTATCCTACATAATCCATGTAAAATATGATTACGTACAAATATAAGAATAAAATATAGGGATGCAGGGATACAATTTCTGTAAGATTTAGGCTTTACGAAACCAATGTAAAGCCTCAACTAGAATCCTCATTTGGAAAGTACTTTGGACATCGAAAATCTCTATAATTGCTCTAGAATTAATTTTCAATACCGATTATAAAATTTTGAAGCTAAAAAAAAACAGGTACAGATATTGCAAATCTCTGAACACTTATTTTTAAAGGCGAAATAAACTATCTAGATAATGTATTATAGTTTACATTATTTTTTAAGGTTTGAAATCCTTTTTTTTCCTACAACCATAATGTTTAAGGTTGAGATGGTCCATTTGAAGGTTTCCAATGCCATAACTGCAAATTGTGGTGACTTTTGAGATGAGGCTTTACCTATTTTGATTACGCTAAAGTATAGGTCACTAAAATAGAACGTACGAATGAGTCCACACAGTCTTCTAGAGACATGTTTGAATAGATGGTAAGTTCTATGTGATAGATGGTAAATACTATGGTGATCACTTCATGTGTTTTTCTGCTCCATTTCCAGTAAGAAAGTATATCACATTACAAGGTGTTTTAATGAAACATTTATCATATGTTTTTCTGCTCCATTTCCAATATGTATTAAGAAAGGCAAAATTAGGGTCATAGATTTCTCCCATATTGGTTTCTACTCTTAAAACCTTGATCATATGCCATAGGAAACATTTGGTTAGGCAAGACTTAACTATATTTGTTCTTATACTATTAGGCCAAGTCCAAAATCTCCTCCTAATAAACTTTTTTTTCTTTCAAATAATTCATTATTTGACATTATGTCCTGCAATGATTGATGCAAACGTTCAAATGCATATTTTATTATCATCAGTGCTTCATCCTATATGATTAAGGATATTTCTTTATAGATTTTGCTAAATTACTTTGCTTTCCAATATTACAGGTTGATCTAGCGGTTGGGTTAAATGGTATCTCAAATGTGTGGTCATCCACGGCAACTATTCTGGATGATGTTGTAGGCAGTCCAATTTTTCCTTTTGTACAAATAGTAGCTAATATTGATCGATGTAGATCGATTTTTCCTGTTACTCCAGGTTCGTCTACAAAATAGCATTCAGGCTTATTATTTTCTATTTCATCAAATATTGTATTATAAGCATTCCTTTGTTCATGATTTAAATGCAGATACAAATTTCTTTTGTTTCTCTGAAACTTCGATAAGTTTTTGTTCTTGTATAACAACTAAGATTTGTTGATTAGTTTTGTCAGATAAATCTAGGCCTTTGTAGTACAAAATCAACTAATGTTTTACCTATGTCATGAGGTTAATTTCAAGAACTAAGGTTTGCTCAAGGTCTTCATCTGAAAGATTATTTGACCGAAGGTCATCAGTCATTTGTATTATAAGCAAAGTTCCAAAGTTCTTTACTATTGACCAGTTAACAATGCATTAATATAACTATTGTTGGAGTTATGTCCTCAAGGCTTTTAAAACTCTGTCTTCACTTAAGTGGGAGTGAAAATAGCGGTATGACTCTAGGATCTTGGCGCATTGGGACCAAGAGTCATAGGAATCATGAGACCGTTATGAAGAGGATTCTTGTGATTGATAGAAGGCACCGAGAGGTTACACGGTTGCCTATAGTCAAGGTCGGCTATTGTTATTGGGCCTCATTACTAGATAATTGGGCTAGGGCAATATGATTTTATGTGTATAATGATATGAGCTCAATGATTGTGTGCATGGGAAGATTAGGGCTAATAGAACCTTCTCATAGCATGTGCACTAACAGTTGTATAATGTGAAGCTGACTCTTCTAACAATCCACTATGAAGAGGTTTGTGCATGTGCCGAAGAAGGAACCCTCGCACCTCGTGTGCGCATGCTTATAAGGGGTGCACCTAAAATCTATTGAAACTTGGGGATTCGGGGTTCCTCATTAGTTTGCCTTGGATAAACTATATCATGAGCCCTTTATTAACATTATTAGCCATGAGTTTGTTGGGTCTTGCGGAGAAAGTGACTTCGGATTCTGGGTCTAGCCAGGTCAAGTGATCTGATACCTAGTTCAACTCCATAGGATCCTAATTCCTCTTGAAATTATTTTTAAATGGTGCCAAAATGATTTATTTTAAGAAAAAATGATTAGTTGGAGTTTTGGGAATTTTCGAGAACTTTTTCAGATTTTTCTATGAAGTACAAATGGTTTTCTAGAACCGTTTGGGCTTAATGACAAGCAAGCCTCCACTCTCTCATTTCCCCCACACCAGCCTCCACTCTCTCTCTCTAAGGATTGGCACACCCCACTCCATTCTCACTGTAGGCGGCATCCCTAGCTATTTCCCTCTTATTTTCTCTCATATTGGGATTAAAACCTAGAGTGAGGTGAGACGTAAAGTTTTAGAGAGAGAA